AAGATCCATCTAGTCAAAGCTATGGTTTTTCCAGCAGTCATGTACGGATGTAAGAGCTGGACTATAAAGAAAGCTGAGCGCCCAAGAACTGATGCTTTTGAAATGTGGTGTTGAAGAAGACTCTTGAGAGTCCTTGGATAGCAAGGAGATCTAACCAGTCCATCCTAAAGGAAATTAGTCCTGAATATCCATTGGAAGGACTGATGCTGAAGCTGAAACTTCAATACTATGGCCACCTGATGTGAAGAACTGACTCATTGGAAAAGACCCTGCTGCTGGGAAAGACTGAAGACAGGAGGAGAAGGGGACGACAGAGGATGAGATGGTCGGATGGCATCCCCCACTCAATGGATATGAGTTTGAGTAAGCTCAGGAGTTGGTGATGGACCAACAGCCTGGTGTGCTACAGTCCATGGGTTGCAAAGAGTTGGACAGGACTGAATGACTGAACTGAACTGATAAGTGCAAAAGTATTCCAATATACAGTAACATGTGAGTTCAAAAGAAAATAGAAATGGAAATGCATATTTTTGAAAAAATATACTGCACATTACTACCCTTGGCTCCAAAATGTTCTTTATTTATACTCTGTGAAATGAAAATAAATTTATAAGGATATTTTAACTTAAAATTTTTCTTAGTAAACTATGTATAACTAAACAAAAATTATGCTTTTATCTTCCAGTTATTTCTAGAAATTAATTCACAGTGCACTGTTCCTTATAATTAATTAAAGAAACAAGTTATTATTTTAAAACTCCCAAACTGCAGAAATTACAGTAACTACGTTCAAAAGTAATTTTTCAAAATGCTAACTGATTAAATAAGATCAATAATAATGTGATATAAGTATATGTGTAATTGAATGTCCCTAATTTTTTAAAGATAATTTTCCTTTTAATTTAATTTTAGAAACCTGTATCAATAATTTCAGAAATAAATTCCTCAGCAATTCTATCCTCTGGGAAAAGATAAAAGTGATATGGCTTAATATTTTATTTTTTTTTATATGGCTTAATATTTTAAAATAAGTGATATATCTGACAATCTTAAAGAACCATACTTTTACTGCTTTCACCTAACTGTAAGATTATGGAGGGAGTGGGCAAGGTTGAATAAAGAAGACACAGAAATATCAAAACAGTGAAATAAATCATTCAAGCTTCCAAACAAATTTTCATTTTTTTCTTCAAGATTAAAAAAAAGACAAAAGATTTAAAAAGATAAATTAAAAGCATAACCTAAAATAATTACTACAAAACAAATCCTTAAAACAGTTATAGGCAGACAAAATGAATAGAAAAATAATATTTTACTATCTCATACAGACATATGATAATCAATAAAAAGCAATTTAGTTTTCAGTAGAAAATATTCATGCAAAACAATTCCTTACCATTTTTATTTACATTTTAATGAAAGAGTATAAGTGTGATTGTGCTCATGTAATAGTAAATATCTTCAGGATTTTTTTTCTTCAAATAAACCAATTATCAAATTAACAAACAGCTCTCTCTAAATATCAAAGACAATATTAACAAGTAAAAACTAGATTTTCCTGCTCATCTTACAGCTACAATGCAACAATATTGCCATCTAGTGTTCATATCAAATAAGTACTTCCAATACAAATGTCCTAGTTTTGTTTTGCACTTAAAAGTTAAAGACAAATTGTCATTCCTATGGGCAAACAGTATAGTTTTGATGGATAAGTAAAAGGAGAAAAAAGAAGTCAGTGAGAGAAAATAGGGAGGAAAAAAATACAAGGTACATGGGAGACGTACCTTTCTTTTGGATGCAATTTCTGCCACATTTTGTTCTTAAAGATGGTATTTTTTAATTTTCTTATTCTATTGACCGAACAAAAGTAAACATAAACTTCCTAGAATTAGTTATACAGTCACCCTTCAACATCCTGGGGATTGGTTCCAGGACACCACCCGCCAGCTCTCCATACCAAAATCTGAGGATGCGCAAGTACCTTATTTAAAAGAGCATAGTGTTTGTGTATAACCTAGTTACATCCTCCCACACACTTTAAACCTTTTCTAGGTTATCTTTAGTACCTATTACAATGTAAATGCTATTAAATAGTTGTAAATGCTATGTAAATAGTTGCCAGTAAAGCAAATTCAAGTTTTGCTTTTGGGAATTTTCTAGATTTTTTTCCCCCTTGAGTATTTTCAATCTGTGGTTGGCTGACACTATGGATGCAGAACCTACGGATATCTATTCCTTTGTACCATCTCCTCCAACCTTTGTATGCCAAATGGAATCACTGAGATCAAGTCCTAAATGATTTTTCATCAAATAAACATAAATTCATTTAAAGCAATATTTTAAATATACAAAATTTATCATTTTGATAACTGCTAACTAGAAGAGATAAAGAATGAAAAGGCTGAGGTCGTTAAAGTTGAAAAGAATTTTGCTTCATTAAAACACAAAGATAGATTCTGTGCTAAAATGCTTAAGTACAACATTATAGACATTACTGAAAACAAAGACCGGTGACATTGTTCATCTATAAAAGTCTCAGAGTAGCTAGTAGATCCCTAAATCAGCAGCCTATCATTGTTTTGATTGTCCATCCCTAGAAACCTACATCTGCTGCTAGGAAATGCTCTACCAATGTTAGGTAAACATGTAAGGTGTGACGTGTGGTAGTGGCAGTATTACCTACTACGACGTCACAACTAAAATTACTACTACACCACAACTAAAATCACAACTAAAATAGCTGTAATTTTAGTAGTGGGGCTACTATATAATCCCACTTATTTTCAACTCATCGGGTGTGACACTTCACAAATGTGTGTCTTACAGGCCACATTTCTCTAGTGTAATGGTTATCACGTTCGCCTCACACAAGTGTGTCTTGTTTTTTTCTCCTAGTCCCACACTTTGGTCATATTGTCCTCCCTCTTAAAAGTTCTATAAATCCTATTCATTGGATATAAGGTGTCAGCTAATTCTATTATTTTTTTTCCTTTTTTATTTACGCATTTTTGTACAACAAACACATATCATTTATATAAATTAGAAATAGCAGTATTAAAAAAAAAAAATCCTCCTCATGAGCCTAGCTCCATTTTTTGCCTTTACTGTGAGGCCTTCAAGTTCTCTCCTCTTGTCCAATCCAGAAGTGACCTCTTTTGACTGTAAACGTTGCAGCAGTACCATCTAACATTCACTCACAGCCTTACAATACTACTTTTATGTACATGTTTTTTTATCCCCCTAAAATATAAGGTCTCTGAAAGAAAGAAACTCCCATTTATCATCCTTATATGTGTCTCCCACAAAAGTAATTTTGGGGCACCTACGAAGTATTAATAATCATACATGATGCAAACATCTTTCTGCTCTGTTTAGAAGCACTGTACTTCACTTCTCTAGGCTTTAATTCTTGAAGATTTACTCACTTAGTCATAATGAGAAAGTCATTTCACCTCTTGAGGCTAAATTTCTTACAATAAAGATCATCAAGTATTATATGTAGAAAGCTATTAATAAAATGTACAATTTGACTAAAAACTAATTTCAGACAAAGCATTTATATGTATAATCAACATATATATCATAAAAAATTCCTGTAATACATATTAAAACTGAATTAGATTTTTTAAATTATCAACATTAGGGCAACCATACACCTACCCATCTGGCTATTTATATAACTTAAACCAAAAATGTAATAAATGTATATATAATTTTCTATAAAGCTGACTTACATAAAAATTATCAGTGTGCTGAGCACAGTGAGAATATATACCTATTTTTGGTCACCAGACTTCTTTAAATGAAGCATTAAAGGTTACCATCATGCATTAGATTATAAAATCTAACATCTATTCACGAACCATATTTATATGCAGTAAATTGAAATGTAAATGCTGTTATTTACATGTTTTCAACCTAAAAACATATACATAAAACAAAATGCTAACTGAAACCTCTGAGGTGACACTGCTTTTCCATAAATACTAGTGCCATCATTTTGTCTTTTCTCCTATCCGTTCACACCATGTGCTAAGTACTGTTTTTCTGAACCATTTAAGAGATCTATTGTGACTATGCATTTTTTTAAATTATTTTATTTATTTTTGGCTGTGCTGGGTCTTTGCTGCCGTGCGGGCTTTTCTCTAGATACACCAACTGGGGGCTACTCTACAGTTACAGCGTGCAGGCTTCGCATTACAGCGGCTTCTCTGATTGCAGAGCATGGCCCTACGGTGCAGGCTGCAGCAGCTGCAGTTCACGGGCTCAGCAGTTGCGGCTCCCAGGCTCCAGAGCACAGGCTCAATAGCTGTGGCATGCGCGCTTAGTTGTTCCGGAGCATAAAGGGTCTCTCCGGACCAGGGACTGAACCTGTTTCCTGCATTGGCAGGTGGATTCTTTACCACTGAGCCACAGGAGAGGTCTGTGACTATATTTTCAATGAATAGGTTTTTATTCAACGTTATAAAAAAAAAAAGAAGCTTAACTACTTTATACACGTCATGTTTCCTATTTTTATGCTACTGCTGCCATCTAGTGAAAAGTTTGAGAACTTAATCATTTTGGAAACTATCACTTTTCATAAAAATGCATACTGTCAACTTGCAAAGTATACATATGATGAATAAGACTATTATAGATCATTTTCTTAAAAATACATTTCTTAAACTTGTTCGTTACATTTCTATATTATAATCAACAATCGAAGTCATTTTTTAATCAGCAAGATAATCATTATTAAATTTCTTTATTAAAAAAAAAGCCTAGAAACAGCAAGCTGTTTCTGTCATCAGTTATACCTTAAGTATATGTAAATTCAATGATACCCTCAAAGACTGTATATTTTGAATTTCAATTACTTACCAAGGACATTGTTCATTTTATAGTAGTAAGATATGCAGACCAAGTATCTAAATGTCTGGAACTCAGTATACTGACACACTACCTGAAGAATTCCATAAAGATAAAGAAAATATATAACCGCCTATCATTAAGCTTACCTGGGAGAAGATATTTGCTGTTGGAGCAACTCTGCTGTCCACAATACTATATAATATTGCTAATAATCTGTCTAATGGAAATGGTTTTGGTCCGAGGAGATGATTGCTTGTCTATAAGAAAAAAGAACATGGATTTCCTCTTACAGCAGAACACTTGCTTTCTGTATTATAAATTCCCAATAACAACATAATTATACTGTACACAGTTCCCCACAGAGGCTAAGAAATCTAACTGGCAGTCTCCAAGTTAAAATTTTACCTGGCATGATAATGATTTATTTTTCAACGCTGTCTTCAAGATGTTCTGACTTAGCATCAACAAATATTAAAGAATTCACAAGTCATCCAGTGTAGTTCCAAACATCACCCCTATTTTGCTGCTGTAACCAGATATTAAGTGATTTAGCCAAGTCATTTGTCAAGATAGTGCACAATCAAAAGTAGGGTCTAGGCCCTAACCCCTAGACTATAATTTACTACTAACTCCTCACCACTCCTCTTTGTGCCACTTCCTGAAAAATGTATTTGTTCAACATTAACTGTTCTAAAAAGATGAGTTATAGTAAATACAAGCTTAGAAAATGAATGCAGTGTTTCATAGGATGTGAATAAGCTGTCAGTTTGAAACAATGTAAAATTTATTAAAAAATTTTAAGACTGTAAAATGTTCATACTTGTTTACAGAGTCAATAGTACAATTATTTCTTACTGGAAAACTGCAGTGCTCAAGAGTCTATAGATAATTAGATTAGATTAGATAATTCTATCAGATAATTTTAGTAGCTTGTAAGAATTTAAGTACTCTATATGAGCAAGGGCAAATAAATGGGAAGCTTTATTTACATGCATGGTTAACCATTTCTTTAAAAGAATAAGTCTAAAAAAAAACCTACTCAGAATTACAAAAAAGTAATTTATACCAGCTACTGATATCTAAAAGATAGTTTAGAAATCATTTTCCAGGTCTTAAAGTTTATATTCTTTTCTTGTTAAAATACTTCAAACATTTAGAAAATATACCAGTGTACCCACCACCCAATTTCAACCACATCCAAATATTATGCAATTTGTACAAAAAAAGCATTCGATCATGCTACAAACTGAAGACCCCTGCACCCCTTCCTTATCTCATTCTCCCTTCCCTCTTGAGAAGGAACTGTTCTCCAGAATTTGCTATTTTTATCATTTTCATGACAATTTTAAAACTACTACTATATATGTGGGCTTCCCTGGTGGCTCAGTGGCGAAGAATTTGCCTGCCAATGCAGGAGATGAGGGTCCAAACCATGGGTCAGGAAGAGACCCTGGAGAAGGAAATGGCAACCCACTCTAGTATTCCTTTTTTTTTTTTTCAGTTTATTCAATTGGAGGGTAATTACTTTACAATATAATGATGGTTTTTGCCATACATCAATATGAATTGGAAAAAGGTACACATGTGTCCCCTCCATCCTGAACCCCTTTCCTACCTCCCTCCCCACCCTGTCCACGTCACAGAGCACCAGCTTTGGATGCCAATGAGGGTCAGAGTTTGTCACTACAGAACTACCCAGCCTATCCTGATCAATGTAAAGCACATTCAAATATTGACTTTGATATGATCAAACTGCAGGATTTATAGGCTCTTATTTTTCCACACCATCACCCAACACTTGGAGTCATAAAGACTCTTTTTTAGTTTTGCTAATATTAAGAATATAAAATAATATCCCAGTGTTGCTTAAAGTTGCAATTCTTGGGACTTCCTTGGTGGTCCACTGGTTAAGAACCCGCCTGCCAATGCAGGGGGTACGGGTTCGATCCCTGGTCTGGGAAGATGTCTCATGCCACAGGGTAACTAAGCCCTTGTGCCTCAACTACTTAAGCCTGGGCACCCTGGAGCCTATGTTCCACAACAAGAGAAGCCACTGCAATGATAAACCCATGCACTGCAGCTATAAAGTGGCTCCTGCTCACTGAGATTACAGAAATCACACACACAGCAACGAAGACCTAGTGCAGCCAAAAATAAATAAGTAAATAAATAATAAATTGTATATTTAAAAGTTGCATTTCTTTCATTAGTCAATGAGGGTGGTAACTGTGTCATGTTTATAAGACACTTCAAGTTCCTTTTTGTATCACTTACCCATTTATTTACTGGACCTTTGCCTTTTTCTCATTTGTTTGTATGAGTCTTTAAAAATCCAAGATAATAATCATTTGTCAATTGTATGAGTGCTAGAATAGTTATGTCAAACATCACAGTGGGTTTTGGATTCAGAAAGCCCAGGAACTGGATGCTGGTGCTAACGGTATTAACTATATAATCTCAGGCAAGTTACTAAATTTCTCTTTAATATTCAACTTAATCATCTAGAAAATGAGGATAATGATAGTAAGTACATTCATTAACTCATTTTGAGAATTAAGTAAGATCATACACAGAGTCTACAGTGTTTGGCTTACGGTGCTCAACAACTTTTATTATTATTATCATTATATACTTATTTACATTTTTTCTTTTCCACACAAATGCCTCGAAAACAGATGTTTTATTTACCTTTTTCATCCCTAGCACTTGGGATTGTTAGTTTAAAAAATGAATGGATGAAAGGATAATGAATGAAATTATGTTAGAGGGAAGAAAGAAAAAAATAAAGGTAAAAGTTGAGCTATCTAAATGGAACTGGTGTCCCTGTCCTCATTAACACAGAACTGACTTGAAAATAGTAAAAATTATCAAATTCCTGAAGTGTTGGGAGTAAAGTAGGAGGCAATTCAAGCTGAGAATCACACTGCAAAATGCCACCAATACTTTTCTAATTTTCACTTATTTTATGATTAGAAAACACATTTCCACACATTTCCAATTTAAAATTAAAGTGTTCCAGTGCCCTTTAGGGCATATGACATTTATCTTCTTCACAGAACTGATTTTGGGTTCTATAAACACAAATTGGCTTCCCACCTAGAGAGAAAGTCAAAGTGTGAGAAATACCTCACCACAGATTCACCATAGCTCATTAGAGAATGAAGACCTGTACAAATAGTAGAAACAGGTGAAAAACGAAACCAAATAAAATAAATGTTTGAGGAGATAAAATGGAATCAAAACTGGTATCAAGTCAAATTAAGAAAAATAGAGCCTGGAACATAAACTTGGAGTTACAGATATTTATACCAGAAAACTAAAACTAGGAGCAATGAAAAGAAGTTTAATTGAGGGGAACAGAACTATGAATGAGGAAAGGAAAAATGTTGCTTTTCCATATAAACTAACTGGCAAATAACCTGGTATCACATACATGCATTAGTTGAATTGATAAGTAAAATCTTAGAAAAATGAGTACATCTTAAAAAAATGAAGGTACATAGAGAAAAATACAAGTGAAGAAACACAACAGATTTAAAACAACTTTAATGATAATTATTTTGCTCGGGCCTGGTGCACTGGGAAGACCCAGAGGGATTGGGTGGAGAGGGAGGGGGGAGGGGGGACCGGGATGGGGAATACATGTAAAAAAAAAAAAAGAAACTAAAACTAAAAATCTTAATAAATCTACTTAAAACAAACAAAAAAAAATGATAATTATTTGTATGGTTTGCTTTTTTTTTTAAGATTAAATCAAATCTCCTTTAATTTAAATAAGGAAATAGAATTGAGCTCATATGGTTTGCTTTTAATGTTTGATCCCGTGATTAAATTGAAAGCTTCATGAGAGCAGAGACAATGGTTCTTTCGTTCTCCACTTTGTCTATAGCCTCTGGCAGAATGCTTAGCATAAAGTAAGCATTCAATAAGATTTCAAGAGGAGAGGCAACAAAAATACAAAGGAACTACTAAGTGTATACAGATTTCAGTAAGTTAGTCCAGATTTTAAAATGACATGAACCAAAGACAAGAGGCTACTTCAAAAATCAAATCTATAAGAATATCGAACTATCATTCACCTAGAACTAAAAGCACCTTCACAATGTCTTCGCTCATACAGTTCCCTCCCCATCAAGTCTATCTTCCTAGACTTGTACAAATCCATTCATTTCACAAGGATGGTCTAAAGTGCAAGCTCTTTCACAGTTCTCTCTGATCAGCATTCATATATCTCTCTCCTCAACATTCTTAAATAATTTTCTGTCTAAAGAGAAAGGCCTAAAATCTCTTAGCTCTATGTTCATTCTTTGATTTTCTTCATTCATTCATTCATCCAATTTATTCATTTGTGCAATAAACATGCACCAATTACCACCAAGTACTGAGATACAGAGAATAAGATGAGCTTTCTTCCCTTAACTGCCGAGTGAGGAAATTCTTCCACAATCTGGCCTCAACTGACTTTTCTCTCAAACTCACCATATACTACAGCCAACTGTATTTCATTATGTCATTTATATATACTATACTTATAAATCCTATACTTTCTCACCTGTACTTCTTGGTATTTCTTCAGTCAGAGTATCATCTCTGTCCATCTCTGATTATCTAATCCTCACCATTCTTGAGTGCCCACTCAAAATGCAAGCCCTACTACAAATCCTTCCCTCACTACCTCAGCCAGAAGTACTCCCTTCTAATAATCCTTTATGACCCAAAGCATCTACATGCATAAGAAAGAGGGTACAGAATCAATGATCTCCCTATAGCAGAGAGGTCTCAGTGAAAGGGCGAATTAGAAAAGTCTTTGCATGCCAAGCAAATGGATTTGATAAGGAAATTTGCCTGCAAAACTCTAGCTCTGTGTGAATGGAGGGGAAAAGTCTTCCTTGAGACTTTTAACTAGAAGCCAGAGATAATTCTGATGTGGAGGCAGAATTCACAGTATCTTTGTGGTCTGAAAGCACCCAGGCATAGAACTAAATTTAAAATGATCCCAAGTTATTGGTGTTTCTAAGTGCTTGCATAGAAGCAGACGTAAAACTTGCCTAAAGGAACACACCTCAGGCCTCAAGAATGCCAACATTTAAATTAAGCCAACAACCAAAACTAATAAAATACTCAGGAAGCAGGACATTATGTGCACAGGTCAGCAAAAATAGAAAATGTAGAATTAGACTGACACTGATACTTTAGAGTCTCAGCAAGACATGCTAGAGAGAATGGAAACTTGTGTGTGTTTGTGCATGCTCCGTCATGTCTGACTCTGTGACCTCATGACTGGAGCACACCAGAGGCCTTTGTCCATGGGATTTTCCAGGTAAGATTACTAGAGTGGGTTGCCATTTCCTATTCCAGGAGAGAATGGAGGAGAGGCAATATTTGAAAAGTTAATGACTAAGACTTTACCAGAATTAAAAAGGCATCATTATTCCAAATAGGAAGCAAATTAATGCCAAGTAAAAAGAAATTCAATCCCAGATATATCACAGTGAAACTCAACACTAAAGCAAAAGGAAAAGAGAACATGAAAGCACTCAGAGAAAACAAGAACAACACAGGAATAACAGATTCACAGCAAGTGCTTTTTTTTTTTAGCAGCAGCAGCAAAGACAGTAAAACAATGTCTGCAATTCAGAAGTGTAAGCTAAGTAAAACGGTTTTTAACAATAAGAGAAACAAAACTCAGCTTCTATAGTGCTGTCTATAGTTCAAACTCCTCTAGTTTCTGTCAAGAAAAATCACAGAGAGATCTGAACAGACTAATGCTCCTTTCACCAATTTCAATCTTGCCCTGCAACCATACCTCCAAAGGGGCATATTGCTTCTAATTCCTAAGCATTGTCCAGATTCCTCAGGTCAAATCAGCTTGTTTGGGGCATTATGTTTCAATCTTCCCTGATCTGTTTATGTGTGTGTATTAGTTGCTCAGTAGTGTCCAACTCTTTGTGACTCCATGGACTATGCTAGCTAAGCTCCTCTGTCCATGGAATTTTCCAGGCAAGAACATTGCAGTGGATTGCCATTTTCTCCTCGAGAGGATTTTCCCGACCCACGGGTCGAAACCTGGTCTCCTGCATTGCAGGCAGATTCTTTACCATCTGAGCAACCCGGGAAGCCCCTGATCTGCTTCGTCACCTGTACATATATCTACCAGCCAACTTCAAATTTTATAGATCTCTGATCTGCTTAGACCTTCTTAGTTTTACCTTTTTAACTTCTTCAACACCATATCTGTGGGTATTTCAAAGGGGACAAGAGGAATACATGCTATATTTAACTGAAAATTCCAGTGTGAACTTTTTCATCTATTAACTCACTAAGAAAAAAATTTTGTCAACTCACTTTTATCTCTAGAACCAGCTCACCTGAATTGGGCGTCCCCAATCACCATATTCTACATAATAAAATACTATTACATTATGATGGTGCCATATCAATACAAGTAACTTCTGATAGTCAAATGGCTAATACAATTATGCATTTACCTACTTTTAATAACATCCTAAATTCATAAGTTTTTTCATTAGAGAAATTACCTTTTCATGTTTCTTTAAAAAACTGGTTTTCTTGATTTTCCCATGATGCTGTAATTAAGATAAATAATTTTTAAGATAAAAGATAGGACTCCATAAAACAGAAAGCACAATTTGTTTAAAACATGGTACACACAATACTAATTTATGTATCTTGGGCTTTATTATTTTATTCTATTTATTGCCTAAAATATCACCTTAAAATATCAACATATTATAGACCTTTAAAACCAGATTTTGATCGTGTACAAGATTACCTTTGCGTGTAAAGAGGTTTTAAAATAAAAGTGATACTTCCTAAAGAACTTATATTGATTTATTACAGCACATTTATTTCTATAAAAGTAAGACTTACAAAGATTAATGAGTTTTCATTCATTCTATAAGGTAAGTGGTCAGATTCACATAAAATTGAGAGCATTTAGTTAAGCACTTGGATTTAAGAGTGGAGAAAAAAAATAGATGGCAGTACTTGCCCTCTTTACAAGAAAGACTAGTGGTAGAGACAGGCAAAAAGGAAATAGATAAAAATGTATTACAATACATTTAATAAGTCAAATTGCATAGTTTTTCAAAAAGAAAACAATTCTAAAATGAGATTTCTTTCCAATTAATATACATGCAAAGACTCCTGAATGTTCCAGATAACAGTGTATGGAGCATATGCTACTATAATAGGAACTTTAGAATAATAAAGGAGTTACCACCCTTTAAATTATTCCCATCTCTCTTATTTTTAACAAAACCTATTTATTCTTTTTTAAATGTACAATTATTACTGAACTCCTCTGTGAAATTACCTAGCTCACCCACTTAGGTTGTTATCTTAAAGTGAGAAATAAAGAATAAATGATTCAAGGGGGGAAAAAAATGAATAGGTGGAATTCAAGCATTCAGAGATTGGAGAGGAAGGAATTCTAGATGGGGAAATCAATGTAAAAAAAGATTGGAGAGTTAGACGGAAAAGCAGCCAATATCTGGAAAGAAAAGTTCAATTTGACTGAATTTTTTATTAATTAGCTTGTAACTGTACATGCCTAGGATGTGTAGCAAAATGTATCTGGTTGCAAGGATATTTTTCACCCAGCTGACATAATTAGTTGGCAAAAGAGAGCAAGTGATTATATGGGGAAGAACAGCTAAGTTCATTATGGAAAAAAAGAGTTGGTCTTTCCTTAGGTGGAAGGTGACTGAAGAAATGGCTCATGCAATCCAAAGAAACTCTTGTTTAGAAGTTTGTTAAGTGTGAAAAATGCTCTGTTGATGGATAAAGTTCTGAAGGCCTGTGGATTTTATTATCTATATTCATTTCAGGAAAAGACGTGTCTGTTTTTTGCTGTCATTTTCAGATTAATTTGTCTTTCAAAATTCAGCAACCAACGCCACCTCCTCCATGAAGCCTTCTTTCCTCAACACTTCCTGCAAGTTGTTTATCATATTAATCTTACTAGACACTAATACATCTTTTTTAGCTCATTTGCTCCATCACGTCTCCACCCCAAAAGTGGCACTCATTCATTAATATCCTAAAGAAAGTTCTCAGTTAACACTGTTGATTGGCAAAGGTGAAGTGAGAAACAAAGGATAAATGATTAAAGAAACACAAAATCTTTAAAGAATGAACCCTAAGGATACCAATCTCTTATTCTAATCTCTGTCCCTTATAAATTTATAGGAGTTGAGGAATTTCAAAATATTCCCTATTTCTTCAAAAATAAAGTGAAAAAAATGATTACCTTAAGGAAAAACCTCTTGTCAGTTCTTGCTGGATTATAAGAAGCGAGGTATGCAGCAATGAGGATAAATTTAGAGTAGTACGGAAGTTCCACATGAGTATATGCTGAAAGACCTATACAACAAAATACTTTTATGAAGTATTTAACAGGTTACCATTAGATTTTAAGTATCATATCTTTTCTCACTTATGTATTGACTTCCATATGGCATCCTGTAGTCAAAAGATTTTTAAGTGTCCTGACCTTAAAACGCCATGATAATGATGGTGGTAGGGGCAAATATTAATGATATGTTTTATTCATTCAGTTATGTGTTATAATGATATGCTCTGCTTACGGTTACATGAAGTCTAAATCCCATCCATCCTGCCCTTCAAAGCTACACTCCACTAAACGTTCCCTGATGTTCCCCGACCACACCAAAACAGAAAATTTACCTCTACTGTGAATTCTCACTTCATATATATTTATGGTCCATGTAACTTTATATAAAGAATTAATTAAACATAAGTTATATTTCTTACTAAGCTTCACTGTTTACTGAGGGAGATAAGTTTAATGTTTTTTTGTATCCTTACAGTACCTTATACAAAAGAATGACTGGATAAATAAAACAGCAGTCAGTCAAGCAGCAATGATTTTTAGGGGAAGGGAAAATGGAATCTGATATTTGCTGAATATCTAGCATGTGGAAGACACTGTGCTAGGTGCTTTACTTAAGCATCTTTGAATATCTGCAGTAATTTAATGGTAGGTATTCTTTCTATTTTAGATGAAGACACTGAGTTGGTCCCAAGGTCACACAGGCAGTAGAGCAGACAAATTACTGCAGATTTTTAACTCCTGCATCTATTTCTTTCATTACAGCACACAACTGAAAATCATTTGTAGAGTATCTCAAGCATTTAAAAACCAAAACAGAATCTCAGTATCACCTCATTCCATACCACTTTCCCCACCACTGGCTACTGACCCAAAATATTTTGGATAGGTTTTTTTGTTGCTGTTGTTTCTAAATAAAAGTAAAGTTGACCCTTAAATAATGGAGGCTATTTGTGACACCCCACTCTTATACAGTAGAAAATCTGCATATAACTTCGACTCCCCCAAAACTTAACTAATAGCCTATTGCTGACTGGAAGCCTTAATGATAATGTCAACAGTCCGTTAACATATATTTTGTATATGTATACCTATATGTATTTTATGCATTCATAACATACTTAACTTTTCCTTAATTTCTTTTTGATATCTGTAGGCTATGCAGTTTTCCAAATTGCTGAATATCTCCAAAAAATTTACAATATATTTACTGAAAAACATCTGTGTTATAAGTAGACCTCTGCAGTTCAAATATATGTTGTTCAAGGATCAGCTGTAATTCTACTGGGATAAACCCAAGGTAATGGTTTCTTTAAAGGAAACAAAAGCACAAAGCTTTCAAAATATAACCAAATGAAATGTAATCCTCAAACTAAATTAACATAAAATTGAATTTTATTCCATAAAACTCAAGGAATACATATACACTGAGATAAAATGAGGTATACAATTGATTGGTTAAATATAACCATTTAAAGAAATAGAAACTGCTTGGTTTTCATATGATATAATCCAACATGTAAAAAATAGAAAACTGGTATTCAAACTTCATTTCCTCCCATTATATTGCAGTACTGCTTAAAAGAAAATCAGTAATTAGAATATCATGGTAGCTTAAATCATTATTTAAAATATCATGGTAGCCTGTGGGAATTCCCTGGTGGTCCAGTAGTTAGGACTAAGTGCTTTCACGCCAGGGACCACGTTTGGTCCCTGGTTGGGGAACTAAGATACTGTGATACAGCAAATAAATAAATAAATAAATAAATAATGGTAGCTTGTAAACTGTCTTTTATAACACTACTAATGCTCTTTAGTGTAAACTTTAGTATCTTGATTACGAGTAATCATTGAAGAAGTGTCTCTGGTAACTGTCTCAACACTTTCTTTGATACCTTTCAGTTGTCCTGGATCTGTGTCATCTTTCTGTAGCTTTTCCCATTGTGAACTGGAAAAAAAAAAATGGAAGGGTAATAATGGATTGAAAATATATAAAATCAGTATACTATACTTAAAGCCCTAGAAAAACAAAATTTTGTTTTGATTTGACAAAATACATTAATTACCTTATAAACAAGACAAATAATATACACATGATGGTACCGCTACAAAATCACTTAGTGTATATTAGAACAATATAAAATTACATATCAATGCCCAGATGTTTTTTCAAAAACCTCTTTTTTCTGATCACAATTATAAAGTTATCAAAAAGTACCAACTGATACTGTTGATTTAATTTAGCAAAAATTGTTATTATATATGTGTGAATGACAGGTAGCAAGGAAAATAGTTGAGTCATTTACAGGCAGTTTCAAATGGACCAGGAGATATCACCAGGCTTAGAATGTCATTTCTCTATTACACTGTTGGGACAGCCTCACTGGCCCTTTATGTCACAGTATGATAAAAAAGGAACTACAAGCATTATATGTGCTATTATTATAAAGGTAAACAGCTGGAACAAAAATGCAAACTGCCCTAAATACCAATTTTGTTTTCAAAAAGACACAGAAAATAATCACATAAGAGATTCTGCAAACTAATCAAGGATAATCAAACATACGTTTCCTATCAATAAACACAAATGGGTACACCCCAATAAAGAACAATATTTTCAGAGTGCCTCAGTAAAGCAGGAGATCAAATTAGCAATGCTGATTTCTATGATCTATATCTAAACATACTATAGGTTACATATTAATTGCATATATAGTGATATATGTATATACAGACATACTTGTGAAAGATGATGAGAAAAATTAGAAATTACCTATGTGATTAGGAAAGAAGTGAAAGGGATAATAGGGTGTGAGACTTCTGTAATTTTATTTTAATAATTTTAAGTTCTGAACTATTCTGATGTCACCTTTTACCTATACAGCAAACCATGAGTTTATTCTACTTTGCTTTTTCCCTTTCTCTTCTCTTCCCATATTTCAACCTTGTAATTGTGTTATTCCCATCCTGTCAGAGAATGTGATTATATACACAGTATTCTTCTACCCTTGTTCCCATCTTTCAGTTTTGACCTATAATTAATCAAATGTAGTGCCCGTCAATCCTTTTGCTAAAGCTTCCCTAGGCATCTCCATTGCACTGATTTTTCAGAATGTGCTTGTCAATACAGCGTTCCCTGAGTTCTTACAAGCTTAACACTGTTTTTCTGTAGCCACGATACTGAATGACAGGTTGGCTGGATATAAACGCCCTTGGCTTATACTTCTTCTCTCCTCAAGTTTCTTGAAAATGTTGCTCACTTATCGTTTTGCTTTATTACAGATTCACCTTCCTTGGTAAGTAGCTTACCTTTTTGCCTTAATCTCCCCCACTCCACTTCATTCTTTACCGCCAAGCAGACAGGAGATATCATGTCCTTCCAAATCACCCTCAAAAACAGTAATTTCCCAAAACTGCTTTGTTAATTCTTGTCTACATACTCTTGAAACATTTCCTTTTGATTCTCCAATAGCCAATGCTCAGACCTCACTTGTTCTCAGTATTTTCTCACTTAGAGTTGGACTCTCTTTCCAGAGGTGATACATCTGCATTTCAGGACACATGTCAACCCCGTGCCCTGTCCCCACTGTCCTCTCCTCTTTTCCCTACAGTCATTGCTTAGCTTTCCACTTCAGCCCCAGAGCTGGCTCTGCTGGCTTCGACTGTTTATTTCACTATTTACATATAACTTAAAACTCGTAGTTAACTCTGTAGCATGGGCATGCATGCTTAGTCAGTCAGGTCTGACTCTTTGCAACCCGATGGATTATAGCCCACCGGGCTCCACTGTCCATGGGATTATCCTGGCAAGAATTCTGGAGTGGACTGACATTTCCTGCTCCAGGGGACCTTCCCGATCCAGGGACAGAATCTGCACCTCCCGGGGCCCCGGCACTGGCAGACGGATCCTTCAGCACAGAGCCAGCAGAGCAGACTTCTAGGGGAGGGCGGCTTCATCTGCTCTCCTTCGTGGTCTCTGTGGGGAGAACTGGACTCAGGTGGCCGCCGCCACCCTGTGCAAACCTGGAAGCCCTGAAGAGTCACTTCAACAACCACCCAAAGTTTTCTACCTTTAAAAGATCAGATCACAAGCTTTTCTATTCTGTGACTTCCAAAAACTTTCATCAAATGACTTTTTATTATTAAAAAAAGGATTAAATATCTTTGCAATGTTTCTGTTTATTCAGAAACTATTAATATTAAAATCTTCTAATTGGCTAATTAAATCAAATACAAAGTAGTTATAGATTAAGGTATTCATAAAAGAAAAATGATAAAATTGATTAGCAAGTGAAAAAAGACAAAAGTGTTGATGTTTTTAAATCTATGTTGCTTTGCAATGTAGACTAAACCTAACATCCATAAGTCTTTCTTATTTGTATCACAAATCACTTTCACATGTATTACTGAAATCTTCTAAGGATTGTTAGAAGAGGGATCTGAAGTCTAGAGGTTTTAGTAAGTTGCTAATACCTCAAAAGGTAGAAAATAGTTAAGCTGGAAATCAAAACCATTGTTCTTCTCACGATACTATGTCTGCGCAATCATGTCTCCTGAGTCGTTTCATTACTATGAACAGACAAACATAGATTTATGACTTGATTTATATACTTCAATACTCAATTTTTCATTATGCCATTCAAATATCTAACATAACTAAAAACAAAGCTGAAACTTATTCTCCTGTAGCTTTCCAGATTTTAAAAAATTAACAATTATTAGAAATATGCCTTGTGTAACATTACTGACTAAAAATTGTTTGTCTTTCCCAAAATAGTAAGAAATGGTTCAAAATTCACAAGAACTTTTTCCCAACATGAAGTAGATAAGAAAACATGTGGACACAATAGCGAATATTCTAAACAAAGATACAGAAACAACATATATAACAAATAAAAAATTACCTTGATATTTCTCTGAGATAAACAGTCTGCATGGCTTTCTTCAAATGAGGTTCAATGTTTCTCCAGAGCTTGCGAGTATCACGTTCACCTGCTACCCCAAAGAAGAGAAAATTTCAATAATTTAGATCTTACAGAAATTTTTTTCAAAAGAAAAATTATTACAGTAAAATTATAGTTACCTTCTCCTTTAACCACAGGTTCACAATATTTAGGAAAATTAAGTACTGCCTATAAACAAAGGGAGAAAAAAAAAATTTACCACAATTAGAAATTATTTTTCAAGTAAAATTTTTGTTAGGATTCAGGCAAATTTACTTCAATATAATTGCCCAAATAAAATGTTATCATAGTTTATTACAACAATAAAAACCATAATTATCAATAACAACAGTAATACAACATGTAAAATATTCCTTAATTGGCTAAATCCCACCTAATATACTGACTTCTAGATATAAAGTAACATAACAATCCCCAGCAGAAGGCAATGGCAAGCCCGGAAATTCCCATGGACAGAGGAGCCTGGTAGGCTGCAGTCCATGGGGTCGCTAAGAGTTGGACGCGACTGAGCGACTTCACTTTTACTTTTCACTTTCCTGCACTGGAGAAGGAAATGGCAACCCACTCCAGTGTTCTTGCCTGGAGAATCCCAGGGATGGGGGAGCCTGGTGGGCTGCCGTCCATGGGGTCGCACATAGTCAGACACAACTGAAGCGACTTAGCAGCAGCAGCAACAATCCCCAAAGCAGATTTGAAAGTACATACATATAAAAGATGCTTAAAAAGAATATTTTGCAGATGATTTATTAAATTCTCGAGAAATGTGCCACTTACAAACTTTGAAACAAAAGTATCCATTCAAAGGAAAATGGAAAATATGTTTATTATCCTACATTCTACATATGCAGAAAAATAAGGATCCTATACTGTTTTTTCTCCAATACTGAAAGATCATCTTAAATTTATTAGTATCACTAGTAGTAATAAAGACTTAAACCACACTTCAAGTTTCAAGTTTTTTAATATAATGTAACAATAACAAGAAAAAAAGTTGTAATCTCGTCCCCCAATAAAATCATTCCTCAGTGAAACCCAAAGGACTTTATAAAAACCATATTTAGATTTAACACTTTCTTTTCCTACAAATAGTTTCTCCAAATAATTCTTCCTTCTTGTACTTTATAATAACCTACTTTGAAAAGACTGCCAGCACAGACACCCACAGGATTCAAGGACATCAAGAGTTAAGGAATGTAACAAGTTATTCCGCAGGAAGGACAGAGGAGAGTGCTCGCTCCCGACTCCACCTTGCGCAGGAACCGCACACTGACCCTCGCCCCCCGTAAGCCCCTTTGTTGTCATCTCCCTCTGTCACCAGGAGTGTCAGACGTTCAGCTTCTGGAGAGGTGTTAGTGATGAGCTTGAGCGAGAACAGTTTGTCTCTGCTTTGTTGCCTACTTAGAAGACACTTGGCAAATCTACATCTAAATCAGAAGAGGCCTACAATTTAAAAGTTCCAAAAACATACTAAATGTGAACACAATTTCTCCTATATTCTATCTCAAATACACACTGAAGCCCTCTAAGCAATATTTTTCAGAGCAAAGAAAAGAGCATAGCAAAGAAAATATATCAAAAGAACCTGTTCCTTCGAAAGTTCCATTTTCTAACCTTAAGATATTTTACCATCTTGTTACATGGAGATAAGATCTTAAGTATTAATAAAAGATTCTAAGAAACCAGATATTCTTGCCTTCTCCCTCTTGGATCCACACAACCAAAGAAGAAAGGTCAAAATTAAGTTAAATACGAAAATTAAATACATTTTCCAAACTGCCTATGAAGTATAAACAGCTATTCTAATGTTTAAAAAAATGTTAAGTAACCTTTTATATAAATTCAAAGTAATCCTTTATATAAAGATTGCTAACTCAAGGTTAATGGCTAACGAAAGACCTAAGTAAAGCTTCTGACCATATTCAAGTGCATCTAGATTTCAGACCACTATCAATACATGTGCTGTGCTTAGCTGCTCAGTCATGTCCTATTCTTTGCGACCCCAAGGGCTGCAGCCCGCCAGGCTCCTGTGTCCATGGGGATTTTCCAGGCAAGAATTACTGGCGTGGGTTGCCATGCCCTCCTCCAGGAGATCTTCCCAACCCAGGGATCATACCCAGGTCTCCTGCACTGCAGGTGGATTCTTTACTGACTTAGCTACCAGAGAATCCCTGGTAATATCAATACATATTAATACAAAAACCTGAAAAAACAATTGTTAAAAAAAATTAGATTTATAGTTTTCACACCTCCTCTCTGTAAGTCTTCATTTTAATTTTAATAAAAATTATCTGTGATTAGAGAAAAGAGAAAGGAGGAAATCAAAAACACACTCCTAAGGATATATGAAAGCAAACAACTAAAGATGACTGAAAGGTTTCAGATAAGGTCAAAACTTGTACTAACCTACAGATTTCTATTTGTAGAATAAATTTTTAGCTTCTAGCCTATCTCACACCTTTTCTACATAAAAGATGTACATTTTATTTAAGCAAAATGAGAACTCACCAGATGCCGGAGCTCTTTCAAATCTCGACAGACAGTGTAGAAAACTCCAAGAAGAATGTTAATGTAGGCAGCATAGAAATCAGCTGAATACTCTGGAGGATGATCATGAGATAGGATCTTCTGCAGGTTCCCTGTTCACGGGACATAAATGAACAGAAATGACTGACCTAGCACCCTAGTCATATCTTCTAGCATTTTATAATACAGGTTTAAACAATAAACACGGAGGTTCAGCAATTATCAGGAATAATAAAACAGTTACAAGATTAAAATGTAAAAGTAATACAAGTTTTGAAACTGAGGTAAAAGAATCATGAATCTAATGTTCTAAAAAAATTACTAAATTTTACCTGACATATATACTAAGAAATGACAACTAAAGAAAAGTTTACCTGACATATATACTAAGAAATGACATCTAAAGAATATCACAAGAACCTTATAATAAGCAAAGCAACATCAATATCAAGAGCAAAAAAAAATATGGGCTTCAGTTATTTTTCCAATTACATAAATCAGCTAAGTAAAAACAAAGGGTACTATATAAATCACCACCAAATTGAAAAATGCTCTTCATTTTTTTGCAAAATGAAAACAATTCAAGAAGTTTTTCATGAAAATCTTCATCTTTACTTTGTCATTCCCTTTTTTATAAAATGGGTTTTCTTTCTACAACTTTGGTATCTTTATTTCTCTTTTATCTTACTCTTTTACAGTATCACATGTTTAGAATCCTAAGTGAAAGTGAAAGTTGCTCAGTCATGTCCAACTCTTTGTGATTCATTCCATGGACAGTCCACGGAATTCTTCAGGCCAGAATACTGGAGTGGGAACCTTTTCCAGGGGATCTTCCCAACCAGGGATCGAGCCCAGGTGGCCCACATTGCGCACAGATTCTTTACCAGCTGAGCCACAAGGGAAGCCCAAGAATACTGGAGTGAGTAGCCCATCCCTTTTCCAGCAAATCTTCCTGACCCAGGAACCGAGCTGGGGTCTCCAGCATTGCAGGCGGATTCTTTACCAACTGAACTATCAGGGAAGCCTTTACAATCCTAAACTTATATTTTATTCTGTTAGAAATGTAGTATTGTAGAAGCACAGTTAAAACTAAAAAGAAACCATCTATTATTCAAAATTTCCCAGTTTACAGCACCTGAATCAGCCAGTCATTCCTTATTGCAATTCCCTCTGACTTCTTGATACAATGGTCTCTCTAGACTTCTCAGTGAAGAGCTCTTTGACCAAGACTAGTACTGTAAACCTTCCAAGTGAAAATTCTTACGGAATGCTCTGATCGTCAATTTCATTTTTTCTTAAGAATCCTTCTGAGTATTTCTACTATGAATACTTTGCCATTTACCATCAGACCTTGATTTTAACTGTTCTCTTATTCCTCACAGTCAGTCAGGTACATAACAATATATGTGGTCTATCAATAGGTACTAATATACAGAAATTCAGAAATAGTTATATTAAATAGCATCTGCTAAACAGGGCAGTTGGCCAAAAGAAAATGCCAAAAACCAAATAAACAAAGTCCCCCTTCCCAAAAGATCATTTTAAAGCCTGTTCTCATGTCTAGAATGTTATTCTGAAGGAATTCTAAATAGAGATTGTTACTAGACCTGCAATTTTATATCATAACCACTGGAAAAAAACATACAAAGTCTAAAATTTGACTTTGGGGCCTATGGATTTTTATACCTAATAGCAATTTTAAATTTAATGTTACCAAGTTTTTAAAACATAAATATTTGACACACTAAAAACTTGTAAAAAGTGCCTTAAAACTTGGAGATAAAGGTACTTTTATATAAAAGCTGACAGATAACTGGACTGATGGAAGAAAGAGGGACTTCTGCTTCCAGTCATGAGGGAGTATTTCCAGTTCAGAAATACTCTTCTATAGATAAACAACTAAAAACTGGTAAAATATAGAAAACAACTATTTTCAGACATCAGGTAGCCAAGAACTCTAATACAAGAAAAGGGAAATGAGGTGAGTCTTACTATCAGCCAGGCTTTCTAATTAGAGGAACCTTTACAATAGTGGTACAGTAGAGCTGCAAAAGAAGCCCATTAATCTTAGTGAGTTGAGGCAGAAGTGGGAGTAGAGAAAGCTAAGGGTACTAGAATACATAGGGTAAAGTTCATGAGAGAAGGACACTATGCAGAGAAAGAGCCCCAGAAATCTACATTAAGGGTTGCCCTTGATTCTTAGCTGAATGCCAACATTTACATGCACAGACAAAGTAAAAGCCCAGAAGAACAAGCAAGAAAAACTTCTGGGGAAAAAAACAATTATTGGAGAGCTGTAAGTCAATTTCCAGAGTTCAGACAGGGATATAATCTGTTCATTTTTCCACCAGTAAGAATAGAGAAACTATACTACATATATGGAGCATTCAGCAGAGAACCCAAAAGGACTTAGAAATATCTTAGAAGTGGAACTAAAATTAGCCCTGAACCCTCTCTCCAGAAGAGCTTAAAAATAACTTCAAGAGGGTCAAACATATCTTCAGGTGATTTAAATGCTTAACAGAAAAAAGTCCAACATGCAAGAACAAAAAACTTAATATCATTCAATCAAAAATTACTAAGCACGTGACAAAGTATAATGGATATCCATAACAGAGAAAAATCAGTCAATAGAAACACCACTGCAATGAAAGAGGTAATTGAATTAGTATACAAGGACATTAAAACAACTATTAAAAAACATGCTCATATGCTCAAGAAAATAAAGAAAAACAAAGCATAATGAGATCTATAAAGAAAAATTCCACTGGATTCAGTAGTCACTCAGTCGTGTCCAACTCTTTGCGATGCCATGGACTGCAGCACGCCAGGCCTCCCTGTCCGCCACCAACTCCCAGCGTTTACTCAAACTCATGTCCAAGTCAGTGGAGTCGGTGATGCCATCCAACCATCTCATCATCTGTCGTCCCCTTCTCCCGTCTTCAATGTTCCCCAGCATCAGGATCTTTGCAAATAAGTCAGGTCTTCGCATCAGGTGGCCAAAGTATTGAAGTTTCAGCTTCAGCATCAGTCCTTCCAATGAACATTCAGGACTGATTTCCTTTAGGATGGACTGGTTGGATCTCCCTGCAGTCCAAGGGACTCTCTTTCTCCAACACCACAGTTCAAAAGCATCAATTCTTCGGCACTCAGCTTTCTTTATGGCCCAACTCTCACATCCATACATGACTACTGGAAAAACCATAGCTTTGACTAGGTGGACTTTTGTTGGCAAAGTAAGGTCTCTGCTTTTTAATATGCTGTCTAGGTTGATCACAGCTTTTCTTCCAAGGAGCAAGCATCTTTTAATTTCATGGCTGCGGTCACCATCTGCAGTGATTCTGGAGCCCAAAAAAATAGTCTCTCACTATTTCCATTGTTTCCCCATCTATCTGCCATGAAGTGATGAGACCGAATGCCAGGATCTTAGTTTTTTGAATGTTGAGTTTTAAGCCAGCTTTTCCACTCTCCTCTTTCACTTTCATCAAGAGGCTCTTTAGTTCTTCACTTTCTGCCATAAGAGTGGTGTCATCTGCGTATCTGTGGTTATTGATATTTCTCCTGGCAATCTTGATTCCTGTTTGTGCTTCATCCAGCCCGGCATCTTGCATGATGTACTCTGCATATAAGTTAAATAAGCAGGGTGACAATATACAGCCTTGATGTACTCCTTTCCTAATTTTGAACCAGTCTGTTATTCCATGTCTGGTTCTAACTGTTGCTTTTTGACCTGCACACAGATTTATCAGGAGGCAGGTAAGGTGGTCTGCTATTCCCATCTCTTCAAGAATTTTCCAGTTTGTTTGATCCACACAGTCAAAGGCTTTGGTGTAGTCAATAAAGCAGAAGTAGATGTTTCTGGAACTCTCTTGCTTTTTCTATGATCCAACAGATGTTGGCAATTTGACCTTTGGCTCCTCTGCCTTTTCTCTTTCTTTTTATCCACTGGATTGGATAATTGCAGACAAAGACGCTTGTAGAGGAAAAGGTCAATGAACTTGAAGACACAGAAAAAAAGCTAAACCAAATAAAACACTAAGGAAAAAAAGATCCAATGTTTAAATGAATAAATAAGAGATTCAGCAGGACAATATCAAGAGATCTAACAGTCATTTAATGGCAGCCCTGGAAAAACATGTGGGGAGCAGAGGGGACAGATGAAATATTTTTAGAAATAATCGCTGAAATTTTCCAAAGTTGAAACTATACGTTCATTATCCAAAAAGCTCAACAAATATCCAGGAGGGTACACGATAAAAGATATTTTCCACCTTGCCTTTTCATTTCTGTAAAGCCCAAACAGTAGTATATGTAAAGTGTAGGATAAAAATTGCACAAAGGTTGTGAGGTGGGAAATTATAAATCACTGAGATTTTCAGATTGTTTACTAGAGCATAGTATAATTTATTCCAATTGATTGGAATTTAGTTATTCCAATAACTATACTAAAAACCTGACTAACTGTACTATAATCCAACTGAAGGAAAAAAAAAAGCATTACCAAAAGATGAGCAGTCTGCATGTGGGAGAGAGCAGAAAACTAGAAATCCAAATTAGGCCCCTGATACTGCTAAGAGGAAAGGGTGTCCTGAAGGTTAGATAACATAGTCCTTCAGATGACATATGTATCAAGTTATGATTGGATGACTCAGGCACTAAGATTATCCTTTTGCCCAGGTTCCATGCTTACTTATTCTGACTATAATTTGGCTTATCAATTAATACTTCTTTTTTTAACACTTTCTTGTGTGATGGTGCTTTTGAATTTTTTTAAAAAATGGTATGTTAAAGTCTCTAAAATTTCATAACTAGATGAACTTGATTCTGTATCATACTTTTCAAAAATCGACACTTTCCTATACTTTTAAAAATTAACAAGATCACTTTAATTATGTCCTTAAATTGTCTCCATCTCTGCTGCTTTACATTCTAATTTAAAAAAAATCAAATTCTACAATTCATGATAGCATACTTTAATTTCAACTTCACTAGAAAACTAGCATTTTAAAATAATTTTTCAGTACTTAAACCTAAAATAGGTCATGAAAAACTTTAACATCTAACAGTCATGACATTAAGTACAAAGAAATTTTTTAATGAAATCTTTATTTTCTTCCTACCCTTTTCTCCTTGTGATTTTCATAGCCCTATTAAAAATAAGGGCTCCCTTCATCTATTTTGGGCTTCTTTTTTCTATCTCAGTTAATTAGCAAAGGCAGGAGGTGTTATTTGACTGCTGTTCTTGTGAAAACAGACAAAACTGTGTTGATCTTAATATAATCAATGTTTATAACTATTAGTTCAAAGGGACAGTGTTTTGAAGCCAAGGTCAAGGAATGGTATCTTTTTCAGAGCCTCTAACCACCTTATGCTTAAGTTATAATCTTTGAATCAGAAGTATCATATTTGTACAGTAACAGCACAGTATTAATCTACAAAACTACTCAGAAACACAAAAAGCTATTGTGCTTTTCCAAAGATAAAAATCATTAGGATCTATAAAATTTAAGATTAAGCACACACACACAAAAATAAGGACTAGCAGTTGCCACTGTAAGAGTTACAGTAATGAAAAATGAGATTTACAAAATTAAAAGATACATTCTGGGTAGTACTTAACTCAAGCACATGGTATATGAACATTTCAGTACAATTTTAATGTGCTTTGCTAACTCAGTCTGATTTTCACTTGTAAGGATATTATAATCACAACATATATATCGTACTATCCTGACTAAAAAAATGTGAAAAGACACCATTAGCATAAATATGTGAGAAATGCTCACTAAAAAAAAAGTAATTATAAGAGAACCACCTCTCATAGTTCCAAAATAAAACCTCTATTAAGTGCAGAAATACAAACATTTATTTGAGATTGGCAGCAAACCCTAATAGATTAAGACATCAAAGTATCCTCATTTGAACATGCTAGCTTAATCTTTTAAGTAACAAAAAAATATTTTACTGAGTATCATTAGTCAAAACAATGTATTCAATTTTACCTATGCTATAATCAGGGAAATACAAGACAAATGGTTCAAAGCATCCGGTATTTGGACGAAACTTTTCCCAAACAATTTCACTGAGAAAGATAACAGTCACATTTCTGTCAGTCTGTAAAAGAGAGATAAATAAAAGGAAACTTGCGTTAAAAAATCTTAATCAGAACAATAATTTCATTTGAATTTTTCTTTCAAAATAAATCCAGCAAAGTTCTAATATATGGCAAATTATTTGCATATTAATAGGCCATATTTAGAAAACCTAATCAAGGAGTTCATCTTTATATGCAAATTTTCCTACATAATTACTTAGAATTTCCATAAAACTTTCAGGTTAATTGACAATTCAGTTACACGTAACACTAGCACAGTCACAGGACTTATTTTATAGAAATTAAGAAACACATCTGCTTGAATGATTAAAATAAGACCTTCTTATGGGTGTTTTCAAAGCAATCATACACTTAACTCAAAAAAGGCAAAATTGATATGGCTATAGTACCCACAGGAAAGAATATATTTGTTGAAGAAGATGATGAGCTTACATTAAAAACACAAACAAGAATGAGTATCCAAAATACCATTGTTAAGTAAACAGACATCTTTTGAAATTATAATATTCTAGAAATAACACTAAGAGAACAAACTCAGTGTGTATGTTATCCTTCTACAAAGTGGCCATGAATGCTAATTTTAATGCTAGAATTTATCTGTAGACACCTCTACATTCCCAATACAAATTTTCTTTTTTTTCTCTAACACAAATTTTAATTCTTCCCATGTTCTTTGGGATGTCTCCTAAATTGAGTAACAGATATGATATCTGTTTTGTTCTATAACTATTCTTAGGACTAAATCTCTTACACTATTCTTTGATGGTGATTTACTTTTATAGTTTCTAACGTATGTGTAATCTTATACTCAAATTTTCATTATTTATAGAAATATACTTCTGGCTAACAAAGAAGGTTAAGTTCAATAAATTAATGACTCCATAGAAAGTGTAGCATCTTTATGAAAGAGAAAAGAAAATTTTTACTTTCAAATACTTTTTGTCTTATTAATTTTTAATAATTCCTGATTTCTATAGTGATAAAAGGGCATGCTCTAAACACAATCTTGATTACAAAGCATTGAGCTGCTTTCGTTTTAAAATATGATTATCCAAAAGCATTTTATAAAGTCAGCTAAAAAAATACTGAGAGATTAAAAAAAATATAGGCTATTAACAGTCTAAAAGGTCTTTAAGTTGGTTCTCATCTGTTCATCTGAAAGTACTTTCAAGTACAGTGATATCTATCATAATTTAAACTTCATTTTACTCTGGTAAGTATTTAATATAAAAAGTGGGAAATGCTTTGGCTGTATTTCTTTTCAATGACATACACATTTAAAAATCAAGTATGTATTCATAAACATCAAAACAATTTTCTTTTCTGGTGGAGCTGAGCTTACCATGAATCGTTTCGTTTTCTCCATATAGTTTCTATAAATAAAACTAAAAAAAGTTAATGGCCTGACTACTGTGGCGGGATACATGATCACCATTACTAGGCACAGGGGAAAATAAGGGAGTAAATTGTACTGAAAGGTGAGAGGACAGCAAGAATGCACTCTGGCTACCAGAGAAGGAGTCTTTGAACAAAGCAATGGGAAACAGTGGATGAATACATGCAAAAACAAAAATAAATCCCACAAACTCAACACAACACAACAAAAAGAAAGAGAGGAAGAGACCTCTACTCAATGAGGACAGATCTCTGGTATCAGTAGTAAACTACCAAGAAATAATCAAACTGGGAGAGGCTAGACTGCATGAGAAGACTTCCAGGATATGTCACCAAGTTATATTTACTTTTCTCCTGTCCTCTCCACATCTGCCCCCCAAGACTATTAGTAAAAGTGGATTTTAGGAGTCAATCTTAAGCATACAATGATTTCAGTGGCAATCAGTTTAGAACTTTTAGTAGTTTCTCAAATTTGAGTAATGCATTTAACTGTTAAAGGTGGAAAGGCCCTAGGCACCGTCTCCCCAAATATTTAATTTTTATTACCAGTTCAGTCACTGAGTCATGTCTGACTCTTTCTGACCCCATTGACTGCAGTAAGCCAGGCCTCCCTGTCCATCACCAAGTCCCAGAGATTCCTCAATCTCGTATCCATTGAGCGGGGGATGCCATCCAACCATCTCAATCCTGTCATCCCCTTCTCCTCCCATCTTCAATTTTTCCCAGCATCAGGGTCTTTTCCAATGAGTCAGCCCTTCTCATCAGGCGGCCAAAGTATTGGAGTTTCAGCTTCAACATCAGTCCTTCCAATGAACACCCAGGATTGATCTCCTTTAGGATAGAATGGTTGGATCTCCTTTAGGATGGACTGGTTGGATCTCCTTGCTGTCCAAGGACTCTCAAGAGTCTTCTCCAACACCACAGTTCAAAAGCATCAATTCTTCGGCACTCAGCTTTCTTTACAGTCCAACTCTCACATCCATACCTGACTACTGGAAAAAACACAGCTTTGACCAGATGGGACTTTTGTTGGTAAAGTAAGGTCTCCGTTTTTTAATATGCTGTCTAGGTTTGTCATAGCTTTTCTTCCAAGGAGCAAGCATCTTTTAACTTCATGGCTGCGGTCACCATCTGCAGTGATTCTGGAGCCCCCAAAAATAAAGTCTCTCACTGTTTCCATTATTTCCCCATCTATTTGCCATGAAGTGATGGGACCGGATACCAGGATCTTAGTTTTTTGAATGTTGAGTTTTAAGCCAACTTTTCCACTCTCCTTTCACTTTCATCAAGAGGCTCTTTAGTTCTTCCTCACTTTCTGCCATAAGAGTGGTGTCATCTGCGTATCTGAAGTTATTGATATTTCTCCCAGCAATCTTGACTCCAGCTTGTGCTTCATTCAGCCTGGAATTTCTCATGATGTACTCTGCATATAGTTAAATAAGCAGGGTGACAACATATAGCCTTGATGTACTTCTTTCCTGATTTGGAAGCAGTCTGTTGTTCCATGTCCAATTCTAGCTGTTGCTTCTTGACCTGTGTACAGATTTCTCAGAAGCAGCAAACTCCAGCTCACCAGCAACAAGGAGCAGAACGATGTGGTGAGGAAGATGGTGGAGCAGAAGGAGGTGCACTCATCTTCTCCTGTGAGAACTCCAAAATTACAACTCGCTGCTGAACAACCATCGACAGGAGAATGTTGGATCCCACCACAAAAAGATACCCCACGTCCAAGGACATAGGAGAAGCCCCAGCAATACAGTAGGATGGGCGAAACTGCATTTAGAATCAAACCCCATACCCGCCAAAGACACTCAGAGGGTTCAAACAAACCTTGTGCACACCAGGGTCCAGAGAACCCACAGAGACTGAGACACAACTGTGTTTGAGTGTCTCCTGCAGAGGTATGGTCAGCAGTGGCCTGCCTCAGGGGCAGGGGCTCTGGGTGCAGCAGACCTGGGTATGGCATAAGCCCTCTTGGAGGAGGTCGCCACTAACCCCACCATAAACCCATCAGAACTTAAAAGCGCTGGGGAAACAGACTCTTGGAGAGCACAAACAAAACCTTGTATGCACCAGGACCCAGGAGAAAGGAGCAGTGACTCCAAGAGACTTGCCCGTGAGTGTCCACGCGTCTCCGGCAGAGGTATGGGTTGGCAGTAGCCTGCTGCAGGGTTGGGGGTACTCAGTGCAGCAGTGCATGCATGGGACCTTTTGAAGGAGGTCACCGTTATCTTCGTTACCTCTACCATAGTTTGGCCTCAGGTCAAACAATAGGGAGGGAACACAGCCCTGCCTAGCAACAGAAATTTGGGTTAAAGATTTACTGAGCATGGCCCCACCCAACAGAACCAGACCCAGTTTTCCCCTCAGTCAGTCTCTCCCATTAGGAAGCTTCCATAAGCTTCTTATCCTTATCCATCAGAGAGCCAACAGAATGAAAACCACAATCACAGCAAACTAATCAAACTGATCACATGGACCACAGCCCTGTCTAACTCAATGAAACTATGAGCCATGCCTTGTAGGGCCACCCAAGACAGACAGGTCATGATGGAGAGTTCTGACAAAATGTGGTCCACTGGAGAAGGGAATGGCAAACCACTTCTGTATTCTTCCCTTGAGAACCCCATGAACAGTATAAAAAGGCAGAAAGATAGGACACTGAAAGATGAACTCCCCAGGTCGGTAGGTATCCAATATGCTACTGGAGATCAGTAGAGAAATAACTTCAGAAAGAATGAAGAGACAGAGCCAAAGCAAAAACACCACCCAGTTGTGGATGTGACTGGTGATGGAAGTAAAGTCTGATGCTGTAAAGAACAATATTGCATAGGAACCTGGAATAACATTCCATAAATGAAGGCAAGTTGGAAATGGTCAAACAGGAGATGGCAAGAGTGAACATCTACATTTTAGAAATCAGTGAACTAAAATGGACTGGAATGGGTGAATTTAACTCAGATGACAATTGTATCTACTACTGTGGGCAAGAATCCCTGAGAAGAAATGGTGTCGCCATCATAGTCAACAACAGAGTCCAAAAATGCAGTACTTGGATGCAATCTCAAAAACAACAGAATAATCTCTGTTCATTTCCAAGGCAAACCATTCAATATTACAGTAATCCAAGTCTATGCCCCAATCAGTAATTTTTATTATAATGTCCCTTAATATTACACTTAAATAGTAGAGACATAAAACTAAGTAGGTATAAACTACTTATGTTCAAGGTACTTATAAAGTTATAAAACCAATATTTATAAGGTAAATAGAAGACTATAAAGCAAATAAAACTTAAATTAACATTATTTGAATATGATGAACATTACTGTTTTGCTTAAACTAAATCTTTGCTCACTTCATGAATATGGTACTAACAGGAAATAGCCTTTTGAGTTTAGTATTCCTATACCAACTGGTATTGGTGAAAACTGAACTCTCTCACTGATTTCCTTTATTCAAACTACTATAAACTACTATCTGTTGTTGCCATTACTGTTGTATTATTATTTGGTTTTCACCTGACACATATGTTGATACAAAGTAAATTTATCTCTTTTTTAATGAAGCCATGACAATTAGAATCAATATTATTCAGTGCCAACACGATTTTAAGTTGAAACACAAAGCTGGTTCCAATAACTGAGTGGCCATGAGACAGAATGTCAGATGATCCACAGCAGACCTATCATTCTATTTTATATTTCTGAAATAAAAAGAAAATTTTAAAATTCTTGCAGACAGTTCAAAGTCTAGCCCTGTCCCACCATTTATTCCAGTCAACACCTAAAATCTTTTAATAGAAAGTAGTGTTAGCCACTTCACAATCAAAAATAAAAGCTAAATAACTGAAGAACAAGTGTGATCACAGCACAAATCGATTAAAACTTTGAAAAAATCCTCAACTTCACTCATAATAGAGAAATGTACATCAAATTTATATTAAGAGATTATTTCTCAGCTATCAAATAGGCAAAAATAAAAAACTGACAACACATATCTACTGATTAGGCCATAGGGGAAAAAGATTCACACATCACTTACCAATTCTTGTAATCTAAGAAATCCAGGTAAAAGGTTTGCTTCCATATCTCTTAGATACTCGGCTTTATCTAGAACCTCGTTTAAAAAAATGCAGTGTCAAAACCAATTTTAAAAGTACTTTCACCAAACTTTTAAAAGTACTTTCACAAAACATTTACATAATATAAGATTTGAACCTTCCATGTTAAAAAATGTGACATGAATCAATATTTTAAACAGTAAGGAAGACATTTCAAATAGGTTAATAAGTTACTACTAACATGTTTTAACCCAAATTTTAAATAATAAGTCATAAATACACTTAAAAAGGTTTTAAAGATAAACTATCAAAAAGATAGTGAATTAAGATGTTAAGGACCTTTTCTTATAGGTATACATGAAATAAAACTATAAGCATTTTTATTTCACTTGATAAAAGATAAATGTCTACCACACACCAAAAATTACAAAGCTTTCTGACCTGAGAGATAGAAAAAAATTCTAAATTTCAATATGTAAAACTACTTGCTTGAACTTTGTAAATGCATGCTAAACCCTTTAGCTAGAAAACCAAACATGTTAGATTAAATTTTTGTTCAGTGTTATGATAATACTATTGGGATTATGCTGCAAATTATAATCATTTACATTAGGAATAAAATTAAAATGCAGGGAATATAATATTATTTCCCTGAATAATCCAAAATGTTTTATATCTGTTTTGCTGATTTAATAGGCAGCTTGAAACAATGTATGACAGTAATCAACTTAAGATATTTCATTCCTAATTCATTTAGACAAAATAAAGCTGAAGTTATTTACTGCTAAAAAGGAACAAATTAGCTTCTCAACTATGTATTCTCAATATGCAATTTCCCCATCAACTTCCATTTAAAACTCTCTAATACAGGACACAGATTAACTCAAATAAATTGGTCCATTTGTATGCCCATTTTAATTCAAAACACAAAGCTGAAGCAGTATTAGTTCAATCTTCTGACTTAATATAATTAACCCACTGTAATTAATGGTTTTATAGTATTTTAATAAATGATACTTCTTCAAAAGCAATTATCAAATAACTAACCTTCAAAGAAGTTAAAATTTTAATTCAAATTCAAACATTTTAAAAAATAACTGACATGAAAGCAATCTAATAGACTTGATTTGTAAGCTTGTTTACTGACTAGAAAACATTCTCAGACATCTTTCTGCATTATTTCCTAAGTGCTGAAGCTTACCAATTCATACATTAAATAACTGCACATTCTACAAAATTACTCTAAATGTTCTATGCTAAACACCCACAACCTCTTTCACCTTTAATGTTTAGCCATCTAAGAAACAGCACTGATGCCCACACTGATCCATGAGGCCTGAAACAGGAGTTGGGTCCTACTGATCCCTCATGGCTCTTCACAGAACACTGACCCCTCCTCCCCCCTGGAGACAGCTTGAAGCTCTGCTTGTTGGAATCATCCAACACTGGGGTCTTTCCTCCTTGCCCTTTAAATGTCAGTTTCTATCACGTTTCCAACGTAACTCCTGTATTTTTTGCATATTTCAAAATCCACATAAATGACCTCCTTCTGATATGGTAGATTCTTTATTTCCTTAAATCCCTCTCTCCTCCAATGATCTTGTCGCCTATCCTACCCAGTGAAAGATCAACTTATATTTTGTATCACTGGCTTTTGAAGTGTGATCTGTAGGCCCTTGTAAGGTGAGGGCAGGAGATGTGCTGTTTCTGATCCTCTATCAGGAGTTGGGTAAGGTCAAAACTATTTTCATAATAATCCTAAAACTTTATATGCCTTCTTCTACCACGGTGATATGTGCACTAATGGTAAAAGAAGCAAATGTGGGTTAAACTTAAGTAGCCTTAGCATAAATCAAGGTAATGGTGCCAAACTATTCTAGCAGCTGTTAATTCTTCACTATGTACTTACTCTAAAGATGGAGCAGATGTACTTTTTCCTATTCCTCCTAAGTAAAACTAAGAATCTTGAGTATTACATACAAAACAAATAAGGCTCTGAAAGGTGGAAAGGCAAACTAGCTAGGGACCTCAGGACCAGAAGAATGACACCTCACTTCGGAGGGTGAATTGTCTAAGTTATTTTCTTGCCTCACATGTGGAGCTGAAGAAGCCTACGACACAGAAAGGCCAAGGAGAACAAACCAAAAGCGCTCCAACAAAAGCCTACTTTTTCGAGTCAAAGGTCCAGGGAAGGGGAAGCCTAGAGAGATTCCCAAGACTATTCACTATCTAAGTTTTATTTGTACATCAATGATATCTTCTGTCTCCTAATTTCTTCACTACCTCAACACTGGAGCACCACAGTACTCAGTCACTGGACCCAACTCTTTTCTAACTCACTCACTCTACTGGTGACCTAATTTTTTTTTTTTCACTTATTTTTATTAGTTGGAGGCTAATTACTTTACATCATTGCAGTGGTTTTTGTCATACATTGAAATGAATTAGCCATGGATTTACATGTATTCCCCATCCCGGTCCCCCCTCCCACCTCCCTCTCCACCTGATCCCTCTGGGTCTTCCCAGTGCACCAGGCCCGAGCACTTGTCTCATGCTACTGGTGACCTAATTCTATCTTGCAGCTTTAAGTATATGCTCAGAAATCCAAAATGGTATTTCCATGTTGGACCTCTCTTGACCTCAGACGCCAAGTGTCCAAGTGCCAACTCAACATCTCTACTTGGACTTTACATGCCCAAAACCAAATTCCTCAGAACTTTTCCCCCCAGAAAGACCCCACCTGCTGTAGTTTTCTTCACTCATATCATGACAAAGCCATTCCTTCAGGTTCACGAAAACTTCGTAACTAGTTGTATTAGTTTCCTAGGGCTACCATAACAAAATACGGCAAACAGGGTAGCTTAAGAGAAACTTACTCTCACAGTTTTGTGGAGGCTGTAAGTATCAGATCAAGTTGCTCTAAGTATCAGATCAAGCAGGGCCATGCTTTCTGTGAAGGTACTAGAGAAGGAACTACATCAGGTCTCTCTTCCAGCTCCTGAGAATTCCTGGCCTTGTGGCAACATACCTCCAATCTTTATGTGGCATTCTCCCTACATGCATGTCTGCATCTACATTTCTTTTCATTAGGACATCAGTCATATTGGATGAGGGGCCCAGTCTACTCTAGTATGACCTCAACTTAATTAGAACCACAGTGATCACATTTACAAATACCATCATATTCTGAGGTTCTAGGGGCTAGAACATCAACATACTTTTTGGAGGAAACTTCAACAACTTTTTGGAGGAAACAAATCAACCCACAACACTAGTCTGCATGCTTCTATCTTGTACTCTTTCTCAGCATTACCCCTTACCCCTCTTACTAAAACTATTCCAGCCAAAATGGCCTCCTTGATACTCCAATCTCTTTGCTTGGAATACTCTTTTTTTTTAGATATTTTCATGGCTTGCCCCTTACTTCCATCCAGTTTCAGCTCTGTTAACATTATCTCAGTGAGATCTTCTCTGCCATCCTCACTTAGAAAATAACTATGTTCCCCTGCCCAGCTGATTCTGCCTTACTCTAATGCACCACATTAGGGTATTAACTTGCTTATTATCTACCTTTTTCAATTAGATTATAAGCTCCAAGTAGGCAGAGACTCTTCTGTCCCTGTTCTATCTCCAGTATCTAAAACAGTGCCTGGCATATTTGCATAAATAAATGAACAAAATTAAAAAGTGGAAGCAACTGTTTTATACATTTAAGAAGATGCAAGAATGCATAAAACTTAAGTCCTTTCAGTGAGTTTATAACTTAGCTTTTATAAGATGGTATTATATTAAAATTTAATTTCAATTCCAGAGATAATCATTTTTAAAATAAGATTAAAGTATTATAAAAAATTCACTAACATAAAGCACATTATATACTTTCAGTTGTCTACTAATTATTTTCAAATTGATGGTAACAAGCTAAACCAAGTCAATCTAAAATCAAATGGTTCATCTTTCCCAGACCTACCACATACACAATTGACAAATTTGACCTTTGCTGTCTCTTACATTTATTCTTTTCTGCATTTTCTACCCCAACTCTAATCCAGGCCCAAACTGCCTCTAATGAAAACAGTTACAACAGCCTCAAAACCATCTAGCCTATGTCTTTTAATTCCCTCCAATCTATCTATTCAACATGCCTTCAGAGCAATTTTCCTAAAGCATGCTTGTTGCTCTACATCTTCCTCTCACTGCCTAGGAAATGAAATAAGGCACATTAATATAGTTTTCAAGACACTCCACGATCTACCCCCTCCCACTTTTCCAGTATTCTTTGTTTTCCTTCATATTTTATAACCCACAAAGACCAGAGTATTTACTATTCCCTAGCCTCCATTCCCATCTGCATGCCTTTGCCTAATTCCCTCCATCTGAAATTTCTCTTCTTCATTTTCTTCCTAATAACACCCTAATCATATTTTTAGCTCTATCTCAGATGTTACCACCTTATGAGGCTGTACCAGATGTACCTGGATCAGTGTTTTGCCTATCAATGTTATCACTAATCACATACTACATGGAGTCATATGAGTACATCATAACTCTTGTACTAAACTGAAGCTCTCTTTAGATAAGAACTACATCTACAGACTCATAGAAAACAAACCAGTGGTTACCAGTGGGCACAGGGAATGAGAAGGGGCAACATAAGGATAGGGGATTAAGTACAGACTACTACATATAAAATAAATAAGCTACAAGGATACATTGTATAGCACAGAGCATATGGTGAATGTTTTATAATAACTATAAATGGAGTATAACCTTTAAAAATTACGTATCAAGTTTCAAGTATACTACACTGTACATCTGAAACGTATTATATTGCACATCAACTATACATACCTCAATTGAAAAACTATACTTCAGTTTAAAAAAAGAAATATATCAAACATTTTTTATATCACATAAGCACCTTGTACAATGCACTGTACATAACGGATCTCAAAAAAAATATGGAAACTGATATAATAGATCAGTTTTCAAGTAAGATATGATATACTGAAATTAAATTACTTACAATATATACAGTCTGATCCTTGAGATTTTCAGCTTCAGTTATTTTTTGTTTAAATAAGCGAACAAAGTCATTAAATGTTTCACAGGTTATGTGAGCAGAACATTCACCCTCTGAAGAAGTAAGATGATTCAATTTGTTTAAAATTTGTTCCAAAAGCAGTCTCAAAGTAAAGCATTCAACACAATTCACAAAGACATGTGGAAGCTGAAAACAAAAACAAAAAGTGTAAATAGAAAACATACAAACACAATAATGGCTTTGCTGGATATCGCCCATTTGCCCTTCTAAATCTATACCCCACCACTCTCCAAACCGCTCTGTGCCCCACGAGGTTGACCACTACAGACTGCATCGCTCAGACTCTTGTTTTTCTGGATCTAGTGGATTCAGTCAAAGGGAAGAACCAGGAGACAGACGAAGAGAGAAAAAATGGTGAGAGAAAAAAACTGAGTATTCCCTTGACTCCCTCTCCCACCCCTCAGTGGCCCAGAGCTTGACAGTGGCTCCATCTTCTCCTAAAGGCTCGAGTTGGGCAGCCCCTTGTCACGGATTTCACCTCTTGCTGGGGCCTTTACAGTCCCTTCTAATGGTCCATTTAAATCTGAGGGAGCTAAAGGCTATCAGCACATCACCATCCCTTACTGGTTCCCTTAACATTTCTTCAACCTTTGTAAAACAATCCCTCCATTAAACTTACTTCAATTATTTGAGTTTTCATTTGTTTCCAATAGGGATTCAAAGCAAACTTGTAATTTCTTCTAAAGAATTCATAAAAAGAACCCCAAGGACATGTGAATGTTAAAATTCTTAGTAAGAATTTATTTATAATTCTAAGATAATATTTTTAATGATGGACACACCTAGATTAAAAAAATGCTAATTAAAATTAAGAGTTAGAAACCAGAGTAATCCACCTGTGAGGACTGAGAATGAACTCTTCATTTAAAGAACTACCAAATGGAAGTAACTCCAGAAGCAATGAAGAAACAAAAGACTAACAAATATAGTCTGTTCTCAAAATGAAATCACAAAACAGTACTGATCACTCAGAGGCATGGCACCTGTTAACTATTTTTGGTTTCCCCTGGTGACTCAGTGGTAAAGAATCCACCTGACAATGCAGGAGATGCAGGTTCAATCCCTGGGTTGAAAAGATCCCCTGACTAAGGAAATGGCAACCCACTCCAGTATTCTTGCCTGGAAAATTCCATGGAGAGAGGAGCCTGGCGGGCTATAGTCCATGGGGTCCCAGAAGAGTCAGACATGACTTAGTGACTAAACAACATAACCAGTTTTAGTGACGCTATATAAATCTCACCCAATAAAGCTTTTCTTTTCCAGAGGAACCATGTAAGTAAGGCTACAATATATTTACTTAGGCACAATTTCAACAGCATTTTCTGACATCCTTTACCCCCACTCCTTTATGAACTAGAGTCCATGATGTCTCTGTTATGAGTAACTGTCTTGCTTAACTGCTATCTGTGTGCTATCTATGGCCTTTAATGGCAACATATCCTAAATGTCTGTGAAGTTGTACGAGAAGTCGTGATAATCATCATTTATTACAATGATTAACCAGGAGCAAAAATCATGATACATTAAAAAATGAAATAGTCCTTAAATATAGAACTTCCGTATTCAATTTTCATGCTTTTATTCAAAATACGTTATTTTTGGACACTTCCTACAGGGAGTTACAAACACAAATGCCTGAGCCAGGACCTTGCGCACTCAAGGTTAGGAGAGGTAGAGAGAATGAGTATAAGAAAGCGATTCCAAGCAAAGGGAGCAGTGTATGCCCAGGGTTCAAAGTAAGAAACAGCAAGAACTGTCAATACTTCAGTATGCCACACAAAACACATACTGTGAGCTAAAGTTGGGACCAGGAGTAGCAAACAGCCTTTTGCTATATAAAGCTCTATGAGAACACAGCTATGTCCATTCAGATAGATACTGTCCACGGCCGCTTTCTTACTAAGGAGGAGTTGAGAGGTTGTAATAGAAAGTACCTGGCCCACAAGCCTAAAATATTTACTAACTGGCCATTAAAGAGAAAGTTTGCCCATCCCTGGCTTAGGATACGAAATGAGGTGTGGCAATAATCACGAATAATAGCATCTAACCTTTACTGAGTGTTTACTATACACTAAGTATTGTGGTAGGAACTTTTCATATATTAACTCACTAAATTCTCAAAAAAATTCCAAATGTTGTCACTATTAGCCCTACTTTTCAGATGGGGAGAGCACCAAGAAGAGGAACCTAGAAGAGGAACATAAGTCTGCTAAATTCTATCTCAAATTCTCAGGCATTACATTACCAAAGATAAACTGAATTCTGCTCACGAAGGGTCTTATATACCAAGAAAAACACCTGAACATTTTGCTGAAGATCTTATTTAATATTTTCATGGACTAGCTACAGGGTGAAGAACAGACTGCACTTAGAAAACTGTTGTGGAAATAAATGAAATAAACACGATAAATAAACTCAGCAGCAATGGCTATGATTAAAGCTACACAGTCAAGATATTAATGATACAGAATCCACAGAACATGTTTACTATTCAACTTACTATTCAATTTATTACAATTTAGTGAGGATAAAGAAAAGAGTAAAAAATAAATTTAGACAAACATAAGTTTAAACTAAACATCTCCCAGATCCCTTCCATTTCTAGGAGTCTACGAATAAAAATCAATTATCACTAAGCTTGGGTAGTCTTACCTCTAAACTTCTCAACAAAGTTTGTGTTACATAGGTCTTTCCACTGGCAGTATGTCCATAAATAAAAATAGATGGAAAGCTGAAATGATGTCTCTAGGGGAAAAAAGGTAAATATCAATCTGCACACACAAAACATAAAATAAACATTTATTAACTTGTGAAAAAGTTTTACATGATAGAGTAAATTATTTAATCCAAATTATTTCTACAGTGAGCATTTAGTGAATTCATCATTACACTTTAAACTTACCTTAAATTCAACTCTACTCTTTCTCAAAATTCCTGGAAAAATCATATTTAGCCTATGTATTATACATGACATATACACACACATACACTTAATCTTTTATTACTACATATATATATATGCTTGTATTTTCAAATTTATGGGAGATTTAACAGATTTTTTAAAGAATAATTCTGATCATACTTCTTAACTCTTTTTTATAGAATTTAAGTTCACAGGCTGCAACTTCACTGTACACTTTAAAGCTCTGAAACTAAGCATACAGAATCACAGGGTTAGAATTTCAAGAATCCTCTCTTCTAAGGAAAACTTACAGAATACTTCTGAATTATGTATACTACATTTACCCCTATATGTATACATATCATCATCATCGTTTCCAACAATCAAATCTACACAGCATACATTTCAAAACATCTATTCCCAAGATTCTCCTGCAGTACATTATGAGTTAGCAGCCTAGAGAAAAGTAAAAAGTGTCAAACATCTCTCTATGGTCTGGTCAATATTACAAATATGCTTCATTCATTCAATGAACATTTATTAGACAACTAAACACTGAAAACCATGATGCACTAAAGGGTAAAAAAAATCAGAACAATATATGCTTTGAAGGAATTGACATACACTTAAAAAATAATTACCAAGAAAATTGGGTGACAACTCAATTTCCATGAAAAAGGAGAGTCTCTATGATTACCATCTACCACTACAACAGTATAGTTAACCCTTGAACAACACAGGTTTTGAACTTCCTGAGTTCATCTATACATGGATTTTTTTCAATAAATATACTGGAAGAAATTCTGGAGATTTGCATTAATTTGAAAAAACTCACAGAAGAACCACATAGCCTAAAAATATAGAAAAAATTAAGAAAAAATTAGGTATGTCATGAAGCATAAAATATATATAGATAATAGTATAGCCTTACAAAGTCATACGGTGAGGGATATCTAATATAAAATTAATAATGCATTAGTTTTGTTTTATAACTTGGCTTTCAAAGGATTACAGTACCATACAGTATGTCTGTGTTTCCCAGCCTCTCCCTTCCTTCTCTCCCTCTCCCTCTTTTCCTTTTCTCCACCCTTCTTCCTTCTAATATGTATAAAATGCCCAATGCTTTGCATTATTAAGACAATACTGATGTACATACTGACAGACAATTCATCTTGTAGCCAACGTAAACTCATGGCATTGATAAACTCAGTTTAGTACTGTGAATGCATTTCTCTTTATTATGATTTTCTTAATAATATTTCCTTTTCTAAAGCTTACTTTATTGTAAATGAGTACCAAATATTATACATATAACACACAAAATATGTGTTAGTTGACTGTTTATCAGTAAGACTATTAGTAGCTAAGTTTGGGGGAAGTCAAAAGTTACACATTGATTTTACACGACACAGGGGGTCAACACCCCTAATTTCCACATTGTTCAAAGGTCAACTGTAGTCACAGACATTTATTACATTCTAGCCACCAAGTTACAACTTTCCTTTTTGCAGGACAAATGAGGAACTCAGTTTATACAGGAAAATATTAATGGCAAATGCCTATGGCAATAGCAGCCCCAAAACTAAAAATGGATGTTCTAATACATGGATTCTTTTCTTAAGTTCATACATAAGCATCTTGCAAATTAACTAGCTCAAAAATTCTGTCTCAAGAACTAAATGCAAGCTTGCTGAGCATCTCTGCTATCCAAATACTATATTTCACCTTGAAGAGAAGCTCAAGATATTCATTAGGACACTTTTTCAAGCTACACTGAAATTCTCGTTTTTGGAATCCTGCCATACTTGTCTGCATCCAAAAGGTGTTTAATAATACTCCACCTTACATCATCTTTTCTAGTGTTACCCAGAATTGAACTCTTGCACTGTTATTTAACTTTTCACCTTCATATATCTAACATAAACTAATAATTCTGCATGTGGCACTGTGCCTGGAACAGACAATATGCTCAGTAACAATTTTCTGAATACATAAATGAGTCTGCTTGGAAATATGAACCAGTTTTTTGTTTGTTTGTTTTTTTTACAAATCTTTGCATCTCCCACATGTACCGTGCCTTACAGAAAAGTGCTATTAAAACTGCTAAACATGATTTGTTTCTCTGATCTATACCAAATTGATACTACTCATCTCTATTTGACAACATTCATTTTCAGGAGCACCACTTCTGTTTGGAGAGATCTGGGTCTGTTAACTCCAGGGAATGAATGCATGAGGTATAACCAAGAAAAGGTTTCAGTGATAATATGGGCAACTATGTTTAAAAGCATTGTAACCAGAATACTGACTGAGGGTGAAGTCATTGACATCTTCCCTAACTAATGCGCCCCTTTAGGAGGCTGGTACTTTTCCACTAACACTTCACAGGCCACCCTAGGCTGCCATCCGGCTAGCTGGATGAAAGCAGTACTCAAGAAACACCTGAGGTGTGGGGGGATAACATGAGTATGACTAAGTTCTCATTTACTCTCCTTCAGATGAGATCCGAATCTGATTAATTCCAAGTCTCATTCATGAATCTGAAGCAAAGGCTCATTAAAAGCCACCAGAATATAATAAAAAAGTAGATTTAAGTATTGAATTGATGAATGCAAGCTCCTACGGAAAGGACTCCCTAGTGGTTTTCATCCACAGGAAACTTAACCTCTTCTCTTAGCCATCGACCGAACTGCTAGTCAAGAAGCCAAGACTACACCTCTTCTGTGCTTTAATAACGCTGGAACAGCCGTTAAAGTTTTAAACCAGATGCACTACGATGGACCTTACTGGCCTTCCCAGCAATCACCCATCCACACAGGACTTAGAGCAATTAGCTCAATGAAACGGAGGGGAATTCAGATTTGAATAAGTAACACTGTGCAAACACACCTGTTGGATAAAATCCTATACAACTGGGGTAAGAAGCAACTTTGAGTTGCTAGTCTGTATTAACACTCTCTCAAAACTGACGTGTGTTAAAAAACATGCCTGGGCCAACGAGCCCTAGTTAGCGGGCCAGTACAATTCAAGAAACTCCTCAGAAGTTACTTTGGGTGAGGAGTGGGACATCCCCTATCTCAACTCAAACACAGTCCACGGCCCCTCAATTCAAACTAAAATTTAAAAATTGGAAACTGTCGCAAGACCATGTAATTCTTTGCCTCCGGGATTTAGAAGAGAAAAGACAGCTGGACCACAATACCTCTCCAAACAGGGACTGCAAGGTGGACACTTGGGACTCGCGACAAAGCACCACATTTTCCAGGTTAGGCATTCTGGCAGCTACCAGAGGACAGAGAAGCCCGTGGCCAGCTCCGGGTCCAAAAGCGTAGCGTCACCTACACCAGAGCCTCCACGCTCCCGCCGGAAACCGGACTCGCGGGCTTCTGGGAGGAGCCGGCGTGGCCGAGCGTCGGCGTGACGTCAGCGCGCAAGAGGAGCGTCGGCCCCTCCCTAATCTTTCAAGGCCGGAGGCTGTAGGGCTTTGGCGCCACCGACGGGTTGTTCCGCTCCTATTTTCTTGTGGGCAACTAGGCCTGTGGTCTTTGCCACCTAGACGTCGATAGAACGAACGGAGGCAGTGTACTGAAGGGAGCTGAGGGGGCCCCCGCAGGCTCCCAGTAAGCAGAGAACCCGTGGCTTCAGTTTTCCAGCCTAGAGGCGCCAAGTTTAGAAACCCCAAGTGATGAATAAGTTTGTCGTGTAGCCCCACCCATGAGGGGAAGGAGGTTGTGGAGCGGAGGCCCCTTTCCACACAGGCAGCTGAGGAAGGTGGGCTCAATTGACCAATATTCTCAAAAAGTGGGTGGTTTTTTTTTTTTTTTTTTTTAACTTCAGGAGGGTATGGGAAATTGGCCTCCAATGCAAAAAAAAAAAAAAAAAGAGAAACTGATGGCATTGAACAATTTGGAATTAGTAGCCTTAGTGCCAAGCCTAAAAGCGAGCACATCTGGTAATGTCTCTCCCCCTCAACGTGAGAAAGTTCTGGTGTGAGTTGCTGAAAGCAACAAGAGTGAAAAGTACACTCCTTTTAGCATTATGCTGTTTGTGGAACACTTACTAGACACCAGACGCTAAAAGATTGTGAAAATAAACAGGTATAGAAGCAGACAGAAATGTGTGGTAAAAAGAGGGTTTGGGGTCCGAAAGCTGCTGGATTGTGGCCATTGGCTCAGAGAGACCCTGAAGAGTTGTTGAACCATTCATCCTGCTGCCCAGCCAGGTCCTATGGGCCTTCTATGCAAAAAGCATTTGTGTGTCCCCCATTTCCTTGATAACAGGAAATAGCCTTCATTCAGCTTCCATGACTGAATTCCAGTGGGCACATTCAAGTGGTTGTTGCTTAGCCAACGTAGGTGATGTGACCCCAGGGAGAAAGTCAACAGCAGCCTTGGGATCGGGTCCTGTTTCCCCATCAAAGGACTTGCACAACATTTTAGGCATTTTGCAGATACTGAACCCACTCCCGCTGGGAGAAGTAAAAGGTTAATGATAGTAGACTGCCCGTAAGCTTTCTGACCCCAGACCAGTTGAACCTGAAGGTTGATGATGTTGGTGCCTACTTAACCTCACTATCAACCCATCAGAAGAACGTCCGCAAGCTTCTCACACTCTCTTTGAACAATTACAATAAAACTTGTCACTATCTTCCCCAAGTTGGGACACAGTAGTTTTAAGGCATTAGTCCAGTGCCTGCCCCCACCTGCCACTTTGCCTGACAAAGTAATAAAGCTATCCTTTCCTACTTCACCCAACTCTGTCTCTGAGATTTGATTACACTGGTGAACAGAGAAGATGAGCTTTCAGCATCAATTTTGGTGTCCAACATGGGGCTCAACTTTGGGACAGTCCCAGGTTAGTGGGGTGGGGTGGGGTGTAGTGGGTCCATTGGCTTGATAGACATGGCGAGGTTTTCTCCACACCAGTCTTCTTTGAGAGAGTGGAGGATTGGAGAGTTCCTTGAGAGACCAGATTGCCTGGAACCCTTGCCTTGAAAGGCAAAACCTTAGTCATACCCTGTCCTTGCAGCTGGAATTCTGAGGTGGGAATAGACAGTGGAAGAGGGACTGCCATATCAGCTGCTGAGGCCCTTTTTTTTTTTTTTTTCCATTTATTTTTATTAGTTGGAGGCTAATTACTTCACAACATTTCAATGGGTTTTGTCATACATTGACATGAATCAGCCATGGAGTTACATGTATTCCCCATCCCGATCCCCCCTCCCACCTCCTCTCCACCCAATTCCTCTGGGTCTTCCCAGTGCACCAGGCCCAAGCACTTGTCTCATGCATCCCACTGGGCTGGTGATCTGTTTCACCTTAGATAATATACATGCTGTTCTTTCGAAACATCCCACCCTTGCCTTCTCCCACAGAGTCCAAAAGTCTGTTCTGTACATCTGTGTCTCTTTTTCTGTTTTGCATATAGGGTTATCATTACCATCTTTCTAAATTCCATATATATGTGTTAGTATGCTGTAATGTTCTTTATCTTTCTGGCTTACTTCACTCTGTATAATGGGCTCCAGTTTCATCCATCTCATTAGAACTGATTCAAATGAATTCTTTTTAACAGCTGAGTAATATTCCATGGTGTATCTGAGGCCCTTTTTGCTTTGAGATGCTCTTCTCTTCCTCTTGCCTGGACTGCACTGGACTTCCCACTCTGAGGAATTATTTTGGGGAAGCAAAAGGTAGCCTTCAGGACATCGCATCACCTCTGCCAGCATTTTGGTAAGTCCCCCAGTGTGCACGCTGAGGTCACTCAACCTGGTCCATTAGGGAATCTCTGGTCCATTTTGGGAATCTTGTTTGGGGATTTTTTCCATTAGGAAAATTGATTTCAGCACCTGCATACAGAGAATCTGAGCTTTCAGCATCAATTTTGAATTGTAAACTTCTTTATCTGTAAAAAGGAGATAATAATGGCTGGGTTATTGCTAGGGATAAAAGATTATATACTTAGTGCCTGATGTACATTGATTTAAGTCATGGATGTCAGAATCAGAATCTTGTATTTGTGATAGCCAAAAAGATGTTTTGATAATCATGGTCTCCTATAACTTATCAGATAGTTAAAAATCATATATTTAAAGCAATTCAAATGCAATTGTTTAAGTACTTTAAGAAAGAATTATAAAAGGTACAATGGGACCATCCATCAAATCTTTCAGTATCTTTTCTTCATCCACACTCTCTAGATGGGGTTATACATTCCCATAACACTATTTTTTTTAACATTCAACAAAATTGTAACTAAATAATTGTCTAAATGTTAGTGTCTATCTCTAGATGCTTTATGAGGGCAGGAAACCCTGTCTTCTTCAAAGCTCCATTTTCAGTATATACTATACTGCCTGGGACATACCTGTTAAGCAATCAATAAATAATTTGTTCACCTGGTGGGGAGTGCCTTACTGTCTAGACAGATTTAGGAAAATTTCCCAGAGGAGAGAACTGAGACTTAAGAATAAGGATTCACCTGTGAGACCAACAAAGGAATTCTAAGCAAAAGAACAAAAAAGACAAGATAAAGACATAAAAGGAGCAAATGGGCAATCCCATGCCAGGGACCAGCAAGTAATTTTTAAGAATAAATCTACAGAGTGGCAAGTGGTAGGCTGAATACAAGTGCATGTTATACTAAGAGGACTGAACCTTGTATAGGCCACAGGGAGCCAAAAAAGAATTTTAGGCAAAGAAGCAAATGAACACTTGACTTTAAGGAAGTTCCTTTTGACTATAGCATGGAAAATAGAATCCATTTGACTAGTGCAAACTTCTAAACAATAAATGATACTGGCCTAAACTAAAGAAATGGGAAACAAGGGAATGGGACAGAGAATGAGTAACAGGGAATGGCAATGAAGGCTTACTAAACATAATGTGGCAGACACTGTGATAGATATATTATCCGTTTTAAGCTTTACAATATAATAGTTGTGAATGGGAAAAAACTATCTGAAGTTAAGTGATTTATCTTTCAAGTAGAATATACTTGAACCTAGGTCTGGTTGATTCCAAAGACCTTAATCTTTCTATTACATCACACTGTAAAGAAGCTGCATCTGAGAGAAATTTAGAAGTAATTTTATAGAATTCAGTGGCTGATTAAATGAGTTGGAGGCTGGAGTCTTTGAGAGTAGCATTTAGGTTTCTTAGGTGACTTTAGGCTTTGCAGATAATGAAATATAAAATAAAGAAGGAGGTTTATTGATTTAGTGTTATCTTTATGGGATTTAGTTTTATCTTTAAGACCAAAGTGAGTTTCTCAGATTTAATTTGAAGTGTCTACAGGGTAACTAGTTAAAGAGGTCCAGAAGAAATGGGATCTGAAGCTACAAAGGAAGTGGCCTAGCAAAGGAGATACAGAAGTTATCGCCACAAAGATAGTTGAGCCAGTCCTCTGGGTCAGACTGCACACAGAGAATATATGTTTATTACACATTAACCTGCAAATAATCCTTTAAAAATGTAATAGTAGTAGATGGAAGTTGGTGCTCAAATGGTATAAATTATTTTTTCCACAGAAAGAATGTGTCTTCAGAAAATATCCCAATAGTAAGAAGCTCACTAAAATCCTCTATGGCATATTTAATAGCTGTAGTTTTAAGCCTACTGTATTAAAACTCAAGTTTTAATTGAAGGAAAAAATTCTATTTGTCAGAATTAGTTTTATAAACAAAAAATTTTGGTAATACATGTATCATTAGTTTAAGAATTATGAGAAAATGATGTGGAAACAGTTTCCTATTAAAAAAAGTGAACACATCACAAGCCATGAATCTCCAACAGTTATGTGTGAGGGATATTTTAAAGTCCTAAAAATTGTCGCCTATCAATATGTAAACATAAGGAGCAAAAAGTGTAGTATTTATGTGTTAAAATGGTCTTTAACTGTAATTTTGATTTTTCAAAGTTAAAACATTAAACAAATAACATGAAACAATGGGAAATTTCATTCTTCAAAACAAAGCTCAAATAACTTATTTATAATACTGTTATGAGCCCCCCAAAAAGGAAACAAATGAAACTAAGCTTACTATCCTTATTTTTAATTTCTTAAACAGTACCTCTGTGCTCTTTTAATCTTTGGCTACTTATTCTCTAGTTTTTAACTTAATGATTTGTATATTAAATAAACATAGAAGTTTTAATCCTAAAATACTTGGTGATAAATGTGTTTTCAAGCTAATTGTTTTTCAATGCCATTTTGAAAGTCTGATTTACATTGTAATGTACTGGCATCCCAGGACTAATAAAATATAAATTAACTG